TCGCCACACTCATACCACAATTGGATATCGTGTCGACCCCCACAACACCATTGCCCGATTATGGTCATAGCTCTGGCATGACATTACCAGACCGACCAGGTTCCGTGACGCACGCTGGCCCCATCCGAATAAACCTGGCCGGAAAGTACTATATCTACCCAACCACGTGGCAGGCCAAACTGTATCGTTGCGCATCTAAGGGCGGGATTCAGAGTTAGAAACGTTCAGTCTTAATCCCTCAGATAGTAGCTTCGCACCATTGGCCGCTCGACCGGGCACATGTACCAAATGTCTGAATCTGCGGTTCCTCTCGTAATAAACAGGATTACCATTGCAGCCACCAGATTGTACTTCACTGTTTACACAGTTCAACCATCAGTAGGGTAAAACTAACCTGTCTAACGACGGTCCAAACAGTCGCGTTTTCTACACTGGCGGTTTTCTACAGTTGTTTCGACCTCAGAATTGTTTTGTCAGGGTCAATTATTTCAACTAACGAGCCTCCCTCGAATAATTCAAGTTATACGCTCGCAGGAATATCCCTTTGCGGTACATAAAAATTAACAATAAATTGCGTTTGAAAAAAAACGGTGAGGTAAAAATAGGCCTCTGCACGTTGAGTAACAAAGTTCCATGCGTGGACATGCCAACATGAAAAGTTCTAGTCCTATTGCCTGTTCATTCCAGTCCGTATACTTTTTGTGAATGCACAGCTTGTACGGAATGTTGAGCAGACAAGCATGCACGTGCACAAATAAACTGTGTTCTTACTGGTGTTCCTACCAGATGGCAATTCCTTCCGCAAATGCTAAGGGCCCGCTATCGACCTGCGGTCGCAGCTCTTCCCGACAGACGTCTCTTTGTGATTGGTGGATACAGCTCTTTCACGGGTCCGATGACCTCCGTGGAATTCTGCACATTTCCCAGCAGCGAGGGACGCACCACTAAACTCTCACCGAAGAACATGCCTGCTAGTAAAGAGTTCTGGCGAAACGCTGCACCAGTGATTAATTCCTACACTGGCCGTTCGGCCTGTGTCTTTAATGGAAAAATCATTCTCGGCGGCGGTTACAACGGCCAGGACGGCTTCGTCGATGAGGTGGAAATCTTCCGACCACCAGACTCCAGTTGTCCAGAAGGTCAGTGGACACGACTTTCCAGCATGCGTCACAAACGGTATCTCTACCATATGATTTCCTGTTCCAGAAGCATTTTCGCTGTTGGTAAGTTGCGCGCATTGTTTCAGAAAATGTTTCAGATGTTTTATCTACTCCACAGCTCCTCCTGAACTTTGCAAATAGCCTTTGGTTGAGGTATTAGTAGGAAAATGCTCAAAAAGGTAAAAAAACTGTTGCATTTAGCAGGCACACCATCAGCCCAATGTGTGTGTTGTGTGTGAAGT